GGAGTAAGTGGGTTGGGCAGGGGGGGAACTGGCTGGAGAGCTGTCCACGGGAGTAAAAAGGGGGTGAAGAGTTGGAGAGGTGAAAGGGAGTTTGGGGTGCCAGGCAGAGGAGAGATGGGGCTCCCTGTGTGCCAGCCCCCTGAGTTTGGCTCATCTGCTGCGTGGGCCGGGCAGCGGCGCCGGGCACATCCCTGTCCCTGTGAGCAGCAACAGTGCAGCATCCTGGAGGTGGAGGGGGAGGAGACAGGTACACCGCCGAGGGGGCTTTCCCCCTGGCTGGGCACCCCATGCTGGGAGGCCGGTCTGTGCAAGCAGTGGGAGCTGGGGCTCGGCTTCTTGTGGCAGGCGAACCCTGTGCACCTCCCGGGGTCAGAGCAGGGCTGCTGCGCGTTGCCTTGATAACACAGAGCACACAGCGTGGTCCGTGGGGCGCGGGGAAGAGCCGCGGGACCCCTGACGCTCCGGCAACGCCTGGGCTGTGCTCAGAGTCCTGCGTCCAGAGGAGAGGCTTGCTTTCCTTGGCAGGAGAGCCCAGCTTGTCCTGGAGATGGGGTGGTTTGGCTCTGCTGAGCCAGACCTTGCTGGGAACTGGAGCTCCTGGTGCTAATCTGGGCAGTTTCTCCTCGTGGTCGTGCGCTGTGGCAGCTTGGCTGTGCCCAGCGTGGTGCAGTGGGTGGAGAATGGACCCCTGGGCGGGCAGAGAGGAAGGCTGCGGGCAGCTCGGGGTGTCAGCGGGGCTTTGTGCCAGAAGCTGCCTCGGTTTTTGGTGGAGTTGCTCCCTGCAGGGAGTGGGAGACAATGGGAAGGTGCCTGTGGGCTGCGTGACGCTGTAGATGCGGCGTGCTCAGAGAAAAACTGCAGCCCCAGTGCTGCTCACCACTGCCCGCCCTGTGCCGTGGGGAGTGCGGTCTGTGCGCTGCGGGGACCGTGCCGGCTGCTGCTGTGCTGGGGTGGACCAGGGCTGCTCCAGACCGGTGGCCCATGGAGACTGGCTGCTTCTGGGGAGGGAGGGAGGTCAGCTATGGCAGGGTGCTGCTGGGCCTCGGGGCTGAAGCCTGGTCCCCGGCAGGGCGGGCGAGGGCGGGCCGGCGTATTGGGGGGGGCTGAAGCCTGGTCCCTGGCAGGGCTGGCGAGGCGTGGCAGGCATATTGGGGTTATGCCAGCGCTCCTGGGGGCCAGGAGGGTGCTGGAGGTATGCTGGCTGATGGTCTGCAGGGACTCTTGGGATCCACCTTATATGTTTTTATTAATGGCCTTTACCTACAAAGCAGCAGATGCTGCTGAAACTTGCTGAGGAAGCGGAGGTGAGCAGCTCTGCCAGTGGCTGTAGTTGCCCCACCAAGCAGAGACGGAGAAGTGGGGCATGAGGCTGTGCACGGAAGGACCAAGAGTGAAAAAGCAGCTGACCCTCAGGAGATGACGGGGAGGACGGTCTGGGTGTACTCCTCGGGGACAGAGGGACATGGAGTCACCACTCTTAAATCTTCATCATACTGCCACATCAGACGTGCGAGGACCTGGTGGCCCACCGCTTAGCTCTGGCAATCACCGTGGCAGTCAAACTAGAGCAAATCCCCAGAAAAGTAAGAGAAATGGTCAGCCCTTGTCGTAGGAGGACACGGGGAGTGTGAGTCTAGTGCCTGGGGGCTGGTGGTGTGGTGGGGGGGTGGAGTGGGTCAGGACGGGTACATACCTGTCTGGGATGGAGCCACACAGGGCAATGCGTGGTGCAGTGGTGGGGCTGGGAGATGGGGTCTGCTCCTGGCTGCCATCATGCAGTGAGGAGGTGGGTGGGGACGAGGGCTCTGGGTCCCGGTGAGGTTCAGGGCTCCGTGGGCAGGGAAGGTGCCCTGCACCCAGGGACCAGAGCCTGGGCTGCCCTGCGGGACGGGCTGTGCTTTGCAGGACGCACTGGAGAGGCTGTGATGGGGTCTGTGCTTCACTTTGTTTGTAGGGTGTGTCCAAAAGGGGTCTGCTGCTGGGACTCCTCTGTGGTTCCCGCCGGGCCTTGTGTTAAAGTCAATATTTTGCACGTACGGAGAATTGGCAAGGAGGCAGCTCTGTGACAGATACGGTACAGTTTGGGATCAAGGGTTGTTTCTTTCCACGGTGGGGACCAGAGTCAGAGCCAGGTCTTCCTTGCAACTGTGGAGAGTGCCACCAGATGCTCTGAGCCTCCAGCTGCCCCCTCCTCTTGTACTCCTGCTCGGGGGGTGCAGCCTGCGGAGCCAGGTCTCGCTGGCTCGGAAAGGCATGCGGTCCCCCTTGCTCTGCAGAGCGGGCAAGGCTGTCTGCAGACAAGCAAATCTTCCAGGAGATGTGGAGCTGCCACGTGGCCTCTGTTCCCTGGCTCGCCTGGTGTGCGTGGCATGCATGCTGGTGGGTGAGGAACCAGGGAGCACGGGGCAGCGTGTGTCCAGGCTTACAGATAGCAATGTTTTGCTTTCTTGTTTCTGAAGTTCGATTCTGTCCAGAATAAAGAGTTCTGATGGAAATCCAGCCATGTGTGGCAACGGGCCAGAATCTCTCACCTGGGCAGGAAGCGTGGTGCGAAAAGGCTGTTATTCGTAGACATCACGGACCTTCCCAAAACTCGAGGTGTCTGTTG